CTCCCAACCTCTCCAGAGAAAATTTTTCTGTAGTTGCTCCAATCTGTTAGCCACTTTGGAAGAAATAGGAAAGAGGGAGAGGAAGTAAGTAGGTAGATTAGAAAGACTACTCTTAATCAAAATCACTCTCCCCCCGAAAGAAAGGTATTTAGCTTTCCAGGAAGCCAATTTCTTCTCCATTCTTTCAGCCACTGGATTCCAAATCTGAGAGGAAGTATATTTAGCTCCAAGAGGGAGCCCCAAGTACTTGACCAGAAGATGGGCAGTCTGACAAGCCATAACTTCTGAACAAACTTCTAGATTTGTAACAAGACCTATAGGGATAATCTGAGATTTACTCAAATTTACCTTAAGGCCAGACACCACCTCAAACCAACTCAAAATTCCAAGCACCACCTCTAGTTGATTAGGATAAAAGTACTTTATTAGCTTCATTGTTTACTATTCAAGATATACATGGATATACCCTATGCATTCAAGGGAAAAGGTACCTAGAATTGTGAGGGATTTTCACTCAATTACATGTTGAGATTCAAACCTTCCAACCAAATAATGCAAAAGAGTATTCCCATTGTGATCTGGCTGAGTTTTTTACTTCTCACAGATTTCTTCATCGAAGTCTTGTGCTAGAACACCGCAACAAAATGGTGTAGCAAAATCATATGCCCTCTCATTTGCTACAGTATAAGGCCCCACATCAGCTTTTGTTTCCTCAATCTCCCATGTTCTCTTTTCCGTTGTGTGTGTTTAGTTGTCGGTGCTTTATTCATAACTTGTCTTCCAATCGGGGTAAGATAGACCCCAAGGCTATTCCCTGTGTCTTGGTTATCCATCCTCCCAGGAGGGCTATAAATGTTATAATCCTGCTACCCACAAGTATTTTGTGTCCATGGATGTGTCCTTTAACTGCTACCCACAAGTATTTTGTGTCCATGAATGTGTCCTTTTTTTGAACCTGAACCCTTCTTCCCTACCTCTCCTCAAGGGGAGAATAGTGTAGAGGAGAGGCAAGTCAAGCAGGTCCATCTTCCTTCTATTCCAGATCTGAGGTGTAGTAAGGACCAACAAAGCTCAAAAACTGTGAAGCAACCTGAATCTATGCATCCAGCATCATCAGACTCTCTAGAGGCAAATCCCTCTCAACTAGGTATTCTTGTTCCTCTTGATGCTACTGAGTCTATTGCTATTGATGATTCTGTTGATGATCTTAATATCCAAATTGCCCATAGAAAGGTTGTTAGGTCATGTACTACTAAGCACCCTATTGTCCATTTCTTTGCTTATGAAAATGTTTCACCTTCTTTTTGTGCTTTCCTGACTGCCATTGATAGTGTCTCCATTCCGAAAAGTGTTGTAGAAGTTTTATCTATACCTGAATGGAAAAATTCAATGAAGGAAGAAATGTGTACTCTACACAAGAACAATACATGGGAGTTGGTAGATCTTCCTAAAGGCAAAGAGCTAATGGGGTGTAAGTGGGTGTTCAACGTGAAACATAAGGCAGATGGAATGATGGAGAGATATAAGGTCTAGCTCTCCAAGGACTAATAATTTGCATTGGATCAGATTTATATTAATAATAATAAAGGTTTGGCATTTCTTTCACCCCATACCAATCAAATGATAGGAAATGGAGAAACATTCCAACTTCCAAGTATGTTCCCAAAAGAAAGTAAACAATAAAAAGTTTGAATTAAAAACTGCTCAGTTTTTATCTTATTTTACCAAATTAATTTTGGACATTCTTTGAGGGTGGACCTTGGCACAATAGTTGGGTTGCACCATTGCGACCTGGGTGGCCAAGGTTCAAATCTTGAAAACAGCCTCTCTATATGTGCAAGGGTGAGGCTGCGTACATTTGTCCCTCTCCAGACACCGCATTGGTGGGAGCCTCATGCACTGGGCTACCTATGGACTTTCTCTAGGTAAGCTAGTATTCAAGGTTTCTTTCTATACTTTAGAAAACTAAATTGAACTTGTTTAGAGGAAAGAAACTCAAGGCCACGGTTTAGACAAAGGGCTTGTGGTAACTGTTGCTAAGGGTGGCAATTTTCTACCCAACCCATCCAAAGGCAGGTTGAATATGGGTCAACTAATCCATTTGAATCACATAGAAAGGGTTAGGGTAGGTTGGATTGAGGATATCCATAGGGTTCATTTAGGGTTTGAGCACTACTACAAGTCTCTCCACCACCTATTTGCAGAGAATACAGGAGAAGCTTCCGCAACTCTATTTCGCCACCATCAACAACCCTTCTCCCTCTCCCCTCCGACTCTCAACTAGTGTTCTTATGAGCGCCACTCCGTTTTCCTTTTTCCACTCTCTTAGATGTTGTGCAAAACAGGCCAAGGAACTGGTAATGCTTCTACTACCAAACTTTGTAATTCAACCAACCCACCTTTCCAGTTTTCCCTTCTTTTTTCTTCTTATTATAAAAAACCTCCGAGAAACAACCTGTTTACCTAGGGTTTCTGCTGCTATAATGCTAGACCAGGAAAAAATCATCAAAACAAATGAAATGAGTTCCCTTAAAGGTAGACTTTTTAAATTTGAGCTAGGTAAGCCACAACCTTAACCTCACCAAAGTATGTTCTTCCCTTCTCTTTCACAATAAACGACTTTAGTTTCATGCAAAAGCAACCAAAGGGAAAAGGTATTTTTCCACATTCAAAGAAACTGATTCTATCTAAAATCTCAGAAAAAGTTGATTTTTAGCCAAGGCATCTGCTAAAACGAACTGGGTTTTGTATTGGTCCTTCAGATTGTTGACATTGAAAAGATACAACTCTTTTTGATATAAGCCAAAGAATAAGATGGATTTTTGGTTCTGGCTACTAACACCTTTGTATTTGATCTAGGAAAGCTGAGAATAAAGATGGCTTTTTGAGCACAACCATCTACTAAAATGTGTTGGATTTGACTTTAAGTGAAGGAAAATGAGGGTCAATCTTCTGCCCACCCACTTCTTGTCTCTCCTCTGCTTTTTTTTTTTTTTTTTTTGATCAGTTCTCCTCATCTTTCTTCCTCTTCTTCATTCTTATCTCCTTATAACAATAGTTATCAGAAGGAATCAACCCCTGACTACATGACCGGTTTTTTCTTGATAAATTCTAGATTAGGCTTTTAGAGATGCGCTCTCTCTTGTGCAGTTTGTCTCTGAATTTTCAGAGCAAGAAAATTTTATGTTGCTTAGATGTGTAGCCATGCTTTTCATGTTAACTGTATAGACACATGGCTTCTCTCAAATTTAACATTCTCTCTCTGCACAGGAACCATTTTCAGCCGTAGCCTTTCAATTGAAAATCCAGTTTTTGATTTTGACGATTCAAGAGAGGAGGATGGGTTTCCAGGTGATGGAGAGGATGGGTTTACCTCTAGCCATAAAACAGTGGAAATGGAGATTGCCACTGGAAATAGGGTTTTCCCTGTGAGAATTGGGAAGTTAAGAAACTTGAATAACAAAGGAAAAAGGGAAGGAGAGACCAATAGTAGTAATTTGGATGTGAGGAGATACTAATTTATGGGTTCATTTCAGTATATTGTTGGTGATTCCAACCTTGAATTGGCATATAGAAATGATGCCAGGCGTGTGAAGACTGTGAAAGTGATTGCCAATTCTTCAATTGGGAAGGAATGCCAGGAAATGATATATTCAATCGGTTGGAGCTGGTTATTTTGTGTGTTGCTTGCTTAGCTCTAATTGGCCAATTAGACTTTCTGTTTTGGACTTTTTCCTGTGTTCTACTATTTTTGTTTTTTGTTTGAAAATTATGTTTAAAATTTTTTATCATTATTTGTGTTTTCTTCTGAAATTTCTGATTTTTTTGGTTGAAATGCATGTTGGTTTTTTAAATTTTTTATCAATTTTCTGTGTTTTTCATTTTTTCTGCAATATCTACTTTTTGCTGAAATGCATTTTTTATTTCTTATCAACTTCTGTGTTATACTGTTATCTGCAATTTCTTCTATTCTGTAGTTATGAATTGTGGGCACTGGGCATACAGATACAGGTTGGCCCAGCCCAGTTAGCCACGTAGTAGTTGGCACATGGGCCATACAGTAAAATTCCTTTTCTGAAATAAGTCATTTTCGGGTTTATTGGTTGACAGACTCGATTCTGACATTTGACATGTGTGTCTGTGTGTGTGAGAGAAAGAGAGAGTTGCCAATTTTGGGTAAACAGGTCAAAGTGGGTGGGTGGGTGGATTGGGTTGGGTTGCAACCTGTTAATATGCATTTGGCATGGATTGTTATTGGTTGTGGGCGGCCCCCCTACCCTTCCTCTGTTTTGAGAACTATATGAACAGAGAGTGAGCAGAAGGGAAGGAGGTCCTCATATGGAGTCTCATGCAACCTTGAGCAATGTGGGAGACCGGTAATGAATCATATCTAACACCCCTAGGGCTGAGAAAAAAACCAAAAATAAGTCAGATTGTGATTTGATTGATATTGATTCTTCTTAGTGATTTGAAAGGAGGACACTTGGGTGCCATAGTCATTCAAAAGGTGCTGCTTCAATTCAAGTGCAAGCCTCTGATTTGACTATAGGCAAAGTATAAAAGTGGTTGTGGGAACGAGATGCTTGGGTTACACAAAAACACTTCCAAAGTGATCCTCTTGAGTTTCCAGCTATTTCTTTTGATCCCCTACCCTAAGAAGTCACTATCAGCCCGGCTGTTATAATTGAATAGTGGAAGGAAATCTTCTCCTTACCCATGTATGTAGACTATAAAGCCAAAGCACAAAATATTCTTTATTCCTTTCTTCTCTATTTTTCCATTATCTTTCTTTCTTGGGGTGTCTTACAAGGTTAAGATGAAGTGAATGGTTCCACTATAGGATTTCTCTAAAATGCTATGATCCATCAAATATGAAAGTGTTGACATGGTTAACCTTAACCCTTGCCTTTGAACAACAGATGAAGATCATAGGCTTAATTTAGCACACCAGAGAATGAAAAAGAAAATATGGGAGTTTAGGGATATTTAGCCTCACCTTGGGAGGCTTTCGCAAAAGGTACATCATTGTCTTGCAGTTTAGCAAAAATGTGTTCTCATTGTATGATAATGAATTTTTCTCCCCTTCAGCAGTGCCAACCTGCTTATCATACCCAGCTTCATTGAAGTATGGCTTAGAATTCAGCACCAAACCCTGGAGAGAAACCAGGACTTGAAGGATGCTTGAGCATGATGGATCCCAGACTTCATTTCCTCTGCCAGCCCAGGTATTTAATAGGCTAAGGCAAACCTTGCCATCCTCATATAGGTTTGGGTTTACCCGCCAACCACCAGAATGATAGTATGCTGACTGCAGATCAAAGACATTGTCAAGAATAGTATATAAATCCAAACATTCACAATCAAGATGAATCAGCACCCATCTAGTCCATCCTGATTCATGCTTTTAGATTCTAAAAATGAAAAGATCAGTGAATTTTTAAGTAGCATATTTAGTTTCTCTTACCGGTGGGAGTTGAGGATACTCTGGTGGAAGGTGAAAATCAAAGACGAAGAGGCCATCTTGGTAAGGTGTTCCATATGCTCCAACCATCACTGCCCTTAATAGATCCATTCTATCTTCATAAACTCTCGCATATATTCCATCTGAAAATAAAACAAAGAATTATAATTCTTTTCAAACACACTGACCAAGATTGAAAGTGTATCCCACTTGTGAGTTGCGAGCCCTTAAAGAACTAATTTATTATACACACCAGGAAGGTTTTTCTGAAGGATGCTCCAATCTTGCTGAACCTTCTTCAGCCATTTCCTTCCATTGCTATTCTGCAAAAAATAGTTACCATTGTTAGATAGGCCAATTTATAGGTAGACACATGCACCATGCAAGGCAATTGGTTTTAGAACAAACAAACTAGAGAAACTTAAAGTGAAAATTAGCAATCACTCGTTTTTCTTCTAACAGGTAACATTAGAAATCAGCTTTGTTCAAACAAAAGATCAAAGTAGAGAGGTGATAATTATTTAGAGAAGGACAAAAAGAATACACAAGTGTAATCTGAACCATTTTATCTTTATGTGTCCATAAGTTTGGGTTAGTTACTTTTCTTCATAATACTTTTTTTTGATAAATACTTTTCTTAATAATATTATATATTATAAAATTTGTGGAATTAAATATAACTGTAAAAGTGAACTTGTATACAAGAGCCATATCACTATGATTTGATGATTTAAAAGGAAAAAACAAGTTAATTTGCAAATTATGAAACATATCAAACAGGAATATAGTGTTTACCTGCCCACTTGCACCAATAAAATAATGATCCAAAGGATCTTTAGTAATATCAAAACGTTTAAAGCTGCAAGTATCATCTGAGTCTTCATGCCTCAAGTTAGATAATGTTTCTGCCACATCTGTACCCTCAACCACAGCACCATATTCCACTGCATTCTCATGAGTAGTTTGTGGATCATAACCATCAGTTGCATTGGATTCCTGTAAACTTGAATCACAACTAGCTGTTTTTCTCTTAGAATCATCAACTATTTTCTCTGATTCAGGTTCGCTTTCACCTCCATAATCTGGATGTGGTGGATCTATCTGTTTCCTCCCTCGTGAGAAAAGGCCAGTAGCAAATCTGGTAACAAATCCAAGGGCAGCTAGGGGTATAGAGAATGGGCCATTTCGTCCAGAACTATTCTCTTCTGAATGAATTTCTATGCTCTCTTCTTCTTCTTCTTCTTCTTCTTCTTCTTCTTCTTCTTCTTCTTCTTCTTCTTCAGGATTGTTATCAATGCCTTTTAGTTGTCCTGACTCCTGAAAATTGCCGACTTATAACTCAATAATTCACACATAACAGAGAGACAAAATAACTAGTTAACAGTCCAGGAAATCTAAGCTATACAACTGGTAATCTGAAACCTAAGGTACATAATTGGTAAATTCTATGGGCAGTCAAGTGGCATAGGAATGCATGGACCTGCATAGAAGGTGAGGAACCAATGTGGCAATAATTGTCACAAGACCCATATCTGTATGATTCTAACTATCTAACCTATCAATCACTCAATATTCCATAACAAGAAAGGTACAATATTTTCAGTGTTTTATCAGCCAGTAAAATATTTTTTTGACACATCACACATGAGATATCCATAGGGGCCATTAAAGGTCTGGCATCCTATACATAATACAGTCACTGATATCCAGCTCCAGTACAACATCCTCTTAACAGATGGGAATTTTAGACTTCCTCTTAAGATGTCAAAAATAATCCTAATTGGGAAAGAATACTCACCTCTTCAGCATTCTCAGCAACTTCCATTTCATTTTCATCAACAGTTTCCCAACTAGCAGCGTCATCACTAGCTTCGCCACCAGCCCCAACCGATCCATCATCATCATCCCGGTCAACCACATAAACTGCTTGAGGCCCAACCTGAGACCAAAGGATCACTTAAGGATGAATTGACATTTTATGGTCATTACTGAATATTTTATCAACAAGTTCTCTTCTTTTTCTTTTATTTTGGTCATTTTCCTGATTGCCATTAAGTGCCAATGCTAAAAATATGAGAGCTGAGTGATTGGTTTCGTTATGTTAAAACCTAAGTCTATAGCATTAGCATCAAATTCAATATCAAGGCAATGCTCATTAAGAAAAAAGAAAGCAATCAAAATTTTCATGGAACTGCATAATGACTGTACCATTGAAACCATCCCATCAGCCCATGTGACTTCAATATCACCATCTTTAAGACCTGTTATATTACCAACCCAAGAAAGATCTGAGAACTCTGCATAAGTTTCATCTTTGGACACGTCATCTTCCTTAACAGATGCTGAGTGCTTTCTTGGATCATGTTTGGCTTCATTTGGACTAAACTGTTGTTTTGCATCTTCAACAGGATTATTAGAACTGAGTGACTGTGCAGAAATAGGAATAGGAGACAGTCGAACTACCACATCCCCATAGCAATAGTCATAATCTGGATGCCCCTCTAGCTCATACACACTTACCACTTCCTCCTTATCAAACTCCCTTGGATCTTCTGGCCTGGCAACAGGCTTTAACCACCTCACAATGGCCGTCCGCTCCTTGGCATTTACACTCTTCACAACCCCAACACGCTTCACTTCACAAGCATCATCACTGTCATCAGAAGCCTTCTCTACCACATACTGTTCAGCAACAAATTCATGATCACCAGGAGTATCGATTGGAATTAAAGTAGTTGAATCCAGTCCAAGCTCCTTCTTTCCATCCTGCCAAGCCACATCTACTCTTGTTTTGGTCTTTATAATCAAAAGGGCTCTTTCAAAATTTTCCTCTTTTCTTCGAACCTTCTTGTCTTTCCTAACAACAATTCTGCGGATCTTTTTGCGATGAATAGACCAACTTTCATGCAGAGGCTCCTTAGAAACTGGCATGGAACTGCCACAAGAGCTGCATTCTGGTGAGGCATTACTTCCCACATTCCCACCATTTTCATCCAAATTGGGGACTTTATCAAGGTCCATGGCTTCAGTGCTTTCAAATGAAGTGAAATTACAGCCTAATTTCTCCTTATCAACCACTTCAGAACCACATCCACTTCCCAAATGAGAAGAAACTAATCCATCCTCAAGAGGATCATTGGGTTTCTCTCTTACTAAATCCTTGTTTGCTGGAGCAGATGATGACATGGGAAAAAGACACCAGTCACCCAGTTGCCAATTTGCATGTGCAAAACAAGATAACAATTTCAGATTCTTTGGGCACTGCTCTTCTGCAGGGGCAGTTGCAGATTCAGAACCATATCCAGTGGCAGCTGAAGCAATCCAGTAGATAAACACTGATCCAACAGTGACTTTTGTAACAGTACCTTCCAAACGGCTAGCTTTCCACAGGCCAGAAAGCCATCTAGCATTTCTGAAAACAGAGGAAGAACTTGCTCTAACACGCTGTCCTGGGTAGTAAGGGTAATGCCCGTCTTCAAATATGTTCTTGGAGACTGGCTTCAACTGCAATGGATCAGCCTTCATGACTTTACACATTGATCCATCATCAAACAAAACAGTCACATTATCTAAGATATCATCAATTCTGCCCAACCAAGGTCCAAGAACTACATAATCACCCACAGACAAATCCCGTACACGTTTCAGATCCCTAGAGGTTACATCTTTTATTATGGACCCATCAGTTGCTAATAGATCAACAGAGATGTTGACATCCACCACTACACCCACTTGTCCTGTTGGGTCTGAAGCAGATGCAACAATATCCCCATGTAAAAATCCTCTATCTATAACTCTTACATCATTGACATTGTGTGTTGCCTCAGTCTGATCCATCCATATTACTCTAACTTGATCAGCTGGAAGAGGAGCATTCTTATAACCATCTCTGTTCCCACTAGCATTCCCACTAGTGTTGCTATTAAGATCATTATCACCACCAACATCATTGTTATCTCCATCATCATCATCATCATTGTCATCGTCATCTTCATCATCAGTAATGCTGCTGTCAGAATCTGAGTCACCAGCAACTTCAGTCACAATCCCAATCTGATTTTCATCTTTTATGCAACTCACAACATCTTGTCTGTAAATATATGGCACCATAGGCAGGTTTGCATCAACCTTTGGTGATTTGATTGCTTCTCCACCATCAGAACCTTCATTTGGCATAGAAATAAATCCATTCATTGTGCAGTCAATTGCATTCAAGGTTTTGTCATCATTCATGATTGCACTAGAATTAGAAATATCGATGTCATCATTGCAACGTTCATTCCCCATCTGAAAATTCAGAATAAACGATCCTGGGAAAAAAAGGATATACAAAGGAATCAATGTTTTAAAGCCCAGAAATTGGAATAGGAATTAGAATACAACAGCACTCCTGAATAAAGTTTTGATAGAATGGAAAGTTTAGCCACTAGCCAGCAGAAAGATAGCTAAGTTCATCAACAGCCAATTTGCCTATTTTGGTGCAATGGAACGTAAAACAACCAAATTTTATGTTTATTTTTTCAACATGGATGATTACCAGATAGTTTGCAATTGATTCAGGAATTTGACACATACTGTTCAATAAAATATAAGTCCATTAAAACCAAAACAAAGAACACTTAAAATAAAACAAGAAGAAGGGATTGGGGGAGGAATCAGAATGCAAACAATTTTATAAACAACAGTATAGTTTCTTATTTCACATTAAGTTAAAAAAAAAAAATTGCCGCAAAATCAATTTAGATTTAAATAGTTCCAAGCCAATTAAATACACAAGGATTCCAAGAAGCTCGTGAGGGTCGCCACGCAAATATTGTATAAGCAACTCCTCCAGCTCAAACATTCATACATATTGAAGCAGCTATATTGTCCTAACGTAATATCAAAATATAATTTCAAAAAAGAGATTAATCAAAAAGCTTTATAAGTTCAAATGAATATTGAATGGAGAATACCACAAAGCGGTTATCAGAATCTTTTTATTTTCCTTTTGAGAGGTGAAGAAACCATTATCGGATTCAAAAACAACAAATCAGAGCAAAAACACACCAAAAGCAGCTCACGCTTACAGAAAAACCGACGTCGGATCGAGAAATTAAACTCGACAAATCAAAAGGACCTAAAATAAGCTCGAATCCTTCCCGAGTGAGCCCGTCATTTTGAAAGCAAGCAAACCAGAGAGAGATGCAGATTTCATATCCAAGAACAATACCTTTTATCAGGCGAAGGAGATCGTGAGACAAGGATTTTTACCTTTGAAATCGAAAATTATGGGAAAAATATAAAAAAGAATAGGAGAATAAAAAGTTCTCTTTGCACGAACGGCTCTCCAAATCGTACTCTTTCGTTGAAAAAAACATACGAATAATATAAAGCAAGGGAGCTTCGAGCGGTGCAGGGAGAAACTTGTCATTAAAAATGTTTCTTCCCCAAGACTACTTTTTTTTCAAAATTCCCGAACCCTACCCCAAATTTCAGAAATTAACATAAGCATTCTCCTTTACAGGAACTGCTCATTACACCTGACGCCTCACAGGCGACTCACACGCACATACCATGAGAACATCTCCCGCACTTATTAATTATTATTCACGGGAGATATTCGTTTGAGAAGGCTTATCTTCGATTCAGCTGCTTTGAAGAAGCTACTAGAAAAGGCTTGTCCAGAGTAATCGCGTAAATGACTGTACCCGCTGTACGACGACAACAATTACAGCCATTTACGCGACTCTTCCTACAAATCTCTTCCGAATTCCGATGGCTTCTTCAAAGCGGCTACACCAAAGCTGCAGGGAGCTTAACTAACAGTGGCGTCATATCACTGGAATGGATTTGCGGAAATGCCATTAATTAGTTAATTTTGAAATGGCATTTGTATCCTTTTGTACTGTAAACAGATTCTAAACCGTCCCTTACAACACATCAAGAGTGGCATTTGCGATTTCCCTATTTGTTCCTAACTTCTCAGTCTCCAATTAGACCGGCTCACGGGTCAGGTTTCGGGCTCGGTCCATGAACATTTTACATTGCTTTGGTTTGGGTTAAACCCATGTCCGACCATGAATAAAATTTCATTCCATTTGTTCTTAAAAATAAATCTAAATCTTTAGCTCAGTTTGGAAGGAGTATAAATATAAATATGTAGAGTGAAAAACTTTGTATTTTATATTATTTTCGATATATTTGCATTGTATATATTTATATTTATACTCTTAGGCTCAATTTCAAAGGAGTATAAAAACAAATATATACAAAATAATAAAAAATATAAGGTTTTGCATTCTACAAATTTGTATTTATACTCTTTCCAAACTGAATTTAATAGAGTGGACAATAATAAACCAATAACTTTATTATGGCTCAGCTTGGGAAGAATACAAATATAAATATATAAATATATAGAGTGCAAATACAAGGTTAAAAAATACAACATAGAAAGAGTTCAAATATAAATATGTACGAATACAAATATATAAAATAATACAAAATACAAGGTTTCGCACTCTGTATATTTATGTTTATATTTTGTACTCCTTCCAAACTGAGCCTATCAATTTTATGTTATCATAAGCATAAAAGCAATTATTTAGGTTGAACCACGAATTGAGGTAGATCCGTATTACATGCAATTGTAAATATATTGAAAGTTCTGGCACAAAATGGGAGATGTGATCCTCTATTTTCCTTCCCTATTATCTTATTGTTTTTCTCTTGATCAAGATGCAACATTTGTCCCATAACCATGGTGTTTGAATTGTCATTGATCCGAATGGTCAGACCATTCGGCCTGAAAAATCTCCAGCAACCAATTTGTTTTATTCCTGAACCATTCTTTGCCAAAAACTATTGACTTGGTCAGTAATCCACTGACCAAGCAGTCAAACCTTTGATCCATTTGATCCGAATAATAGTTTTTATCATTTTTTATTTTAATTATGTTCGGACCAAATGGTCAAATTGCTGACCCAAAACCTGGTGGTCAAAGTGGTTCCAACTCTAAGTCAGTTTTTAAAACATTGCCAATAATAGAAGGAACCCTTTTCATTTCATGTGTGATGAATGATGTATCGTTTTTGTTTTCCATTTTTTTTTAAATAATGCATCATTGTCATATTTCCCTCCAAAATTCTCACCACCATCTATCTCTTCACCCTCCAACAATATTTTCTCTACTCATCCTTCCCCTTTCTTTTTCTCTTTTTCTTTTTCTTTGTTTTGTCCTTGATAAAATCCTGGTTTTACCTAAATCCCATTACCTTAAACAATCAGATACAAGGTCGGAATGTGCTGTGGGGCATTGTGGGGCGCAGATGTGAACGATGCTAAAGTGTAAAATCATCAAACTGTAGTTGTATTTGTGTACGCTTCCTATGCACAAAGAAAGGAGCAGTGTCATTAACAACTGCGGAAATGGGATTCGCTGACAGCACGGCATCGAGCCATTCATTCAAAACATCTCCGTGCTTGTATATTGTAATTTATGGGAGATGTACCCAGTGCACGGCTCGATGCAGTACTGTCAGCATGTTTACACGTTTTTTACTGGCAGAAGATGCAACTCACACTGTGGCTCAATAAACAAGACAGGATGGTTGTTCTACACGTATTGCTCCCCTATGCCTACTAGGAAAAAGCATTGTTTATTAAAACAAAGACAGAAGAAACATTCTTATTGGTTTTGTGGTTTATTTGTCTGTTTACAAAATGAAAACTAGAAATGCCTTCTTCATATTAGGGTTTTAAAAACATGGTTTCCTCTAAGGTTTGATCGATGTTATATTTTACAAAGCATGCAAATGAAACTTCAAACCAGCACTTGTAAGAGTGTGTATATCAAATTTTAGCTTGAACCATGGCTTAAAAACCGGATTAGATCAAATGGTCGGACCAGTTGACTCAAGAATCAGTCAAGCAATTTGTTCCATTTTACCTTAAAATCACTTTTTGACAAAAAACCTATTGATTCAGTCATGGGCTGTTGAACCGTCGACCCATTAATTCGAATAATGTATTTTGATCATTTTTTATTTTATTTATTTTTTTTAATTTTTAAGTCAGAATGGACCGTTCATTCAAATCAGGATGGTTGGACCGTTCAACCCAGAAATCGGTCCCCAAAACGGTTCTGTGTCCAGTCCAGTTTTTAAAACCTTTGGCATGAATGACAAAAGGCAAATTAGCCCATTTCAGCCTTAGGATTAAATATTTCAATTAATGGTTCGTCCCAAAAATGCGTGTAAATAAAACCACATGTACAATAGAGTATAGAGGGGCAGATTAGGAGTGAAAAGGGAAGATCTCATAGAGACAATGATACATTGTATTTGTAATTATAACAGCATTGAATGATATGGGGGTGTTTGCCAGCGTTAATGGCTGTGTTTAAAAAAAAACCAATAATACATGCCATGTCAGCAAAAAAAAAGCTTACATGGCATTTATTATTGTTTTTATAAGAAAATGAAACTATTCACATTGACGAATATTCCCATATTGTGTCCGTGATTTACATTGAATTATTCGATTATTTTCATGTCTAATAACACCCAAATCCACCTTTGTGTATAGCTATGGAGCCCACCTAAAACCAAGCCCCACTATCAAACATATGTGATGGTTGAAAGCTCATGCGCAATTGACTTTGTGCAAGTACTTTGGAATGTGCCAGCTTGGTTGTTGGTCACCGGCTGGTTGTAAATGGGGACTTGTGATTGAATACTGCCTTCATTAGTCTCTTTTTCTTTTCCTTTTTTTTGTTTGTGGGTTGGGGTGGGTTTCAACTTTCAAGGGAAGGCTACCCTATAAGTATATCCCATTTGCCTAGCAAAACAAAGTGCTAATGTGTTATTGGTGACATTTCTCTTTCTACTAGAATTTTCATCCCTTTCACAACCAAGACTTTGTTTCCACCTCTTTTAGTTAGTTATAATGTAAATGGCAGGTAAAACAAGTTTTCATTTCAAAATGGACCAAATCATAGCTCAAATAGTTTTAACCCCAAAATTGTTTTATATTTTATGCAAGAGAAAATAACAAATATACTTTTTCAGTTTCTCCAAAATTTGTCATTTAGTCTCAGTTTGGAAGGATTACAAATACTATGTAGAGTGCAAAACATTGTATTTTGTATGCATTTGTACTCTTTTCAAATTGTGCCTTAAGCTTAGTTTGGAAGGAGTACAAATACAAATATGTATGGTGCAAATATATACAAAATAATACAAATACAAGGTTTTGCACCCTACATATTTGCATTTTTGCTGCTTCCAAATTGAGCCTTCTTTTGCTTGGAAAAAGTACAAAAGCAAATATGTAGAGTGCAAAACCTTGTATTTTGTATTATTGTGCTTATATTTGTACCGTACATATTTGCATTTGTACTCCTTCCGAACTGAGCCTTAAAAATGAACCTCTTTTTTTTGTTATCAAAAGAGGCGCAAAATATATTAAGCATTAAAGGTTACATGCTAAGAATGTTTGGAGTTAAAGTGCAAAGTAAACTGGCCTTTACAGGCTAAGTAAGCAAAAAGATGAGCTGTTTGGTTGAGCTGCCTCAAAATATGTACGAACTTTATAGATACAAAAGATTCTATTAGACGTCGCAGATGTCCTCTATGCAGCTGCTTGAACCAGAAGGATACTCGACCAGTGTCTGTTAGCTCTACTAAAGTTGCATTATCTGTATATACCAAAAGATGGGAGATGCCATTGGAGAGTGTTGTCCGTAGTCCAGCTAGAAGGGCTCGAATTTCGGCATCATAGCTGGTAAGGGCCCAAGAAGGTCTACCTTTAGCGATGGTAAAATGTTCATGGGGGTGTTGGAGGATGAACCCTCGTCCTGCATTACCTGTAGTTGTATCAAAAGAGCCATCAGTATATAGAGTGGGAAGGTCATTTTGCCTTGGTTGATCCCGTTTTTGCTGCCTAGGCTGGGTTATTGAAAGCTCCACATGATAACTTAACGCTGAGCTTACCACTTGTGCAGGATGTTGCATCGCATTTTCAAAAATTTGTTTATTCCTTGCTTTCCAAATTAAGTATAAAATGATAAAAAATTTACTTAGACATATTAGAGCTTGATGTTTACCCAGATGAGTATACAAGGAAGTGTACCAATTCATGATAATGACGTGGATGGGGAGTTGAGATATGCGCGATGGGTTTAACCTAATCTGGGCACCGCACCAAATTGCTTGAGCAAAGGGGCATCCAAAGAATAGGTGGTAAGTTGTTTCTTGTTGAAGTTTACAGAACACATGTATTCTATCTTCTTCGCTGAGCCATGAGGAACACTTAGTTTTTGTAAGTAGTCCATCCCAAAGAATCTTCCAGAGAAAGACTTGGAATCTAAATGGCACTT